GAGTTATCAATTATACTAATACTGTTGTTGAAGCCTTTTTTTTTTTTTTTTAAAGAAAAAAGAAGGCTCCATCTATTGGTGGGGAGCGTCACCTGCTGGAAAACGGGTCCAGCGTCTCTTACACAATTGATACAGAATGGCTCATACAAGGAAGCCTTCACTGTCCATAACTATCTCTCTGTTAATTGGGCTATGCTGTTGTGTCTGTTGTGTCTGTGGTGATCTTTTGTGATCAGTTGTGATCTGTTGTGATAAGCCCTTAAGGGCTAGTAGCCTAGTGCCCGTCCTTCCTCATTTTGCCCGGGCTGTAATCTGTTATCTTGTGCATTGTTGTATTGGTGTGAGGTGTATTGTGTTAGTGTAAAGCAGATGTGGGGTGGCTATCGCCACCCCTTGTTCCCTCCCTCCCGAATACCCGTGGTGTTTATTACCATCTGAAGCTCTCTGGTGTGATCTAGTATGATCTGGGTGGGGTAGCTTCCGCCCCCCTTATTCCCTCCCTCCATCCCAATGTGGCTGCGACCTGCCTTGCTCTTTGGTCGCTTGATTGAGGCTTCACAGTCTCACCACTCTACCCCGGGCCCATGTCACATCTATCCCAACTATGTCCTTGCAGCATTGTTTGTCGGTGATAGGCAGTGTCCATGCCATTCTGTGTCCTTTCGAGTCCTTTTGTGTCAAACTATTAAAACCCTTAAACCTAAAACCTAAGGTCACACCGTCCTAGTAATTCCTGACCTCTTTTATGGCACCTTATTTCACCTAACCACATTATGTACAGATTGACGGTGTACTGTCTATATATCATGTCGTCACCAGCCGACTTTCACCCTTGGTGTCCTTGGTGCGAGTTGTTGGCGCCTCCTGACCGGATCCTGCTTCTGTCCCTCTTAATTCCCGATGTCTTGATTCCTGGTGAACCTTCTTCTTCGGGTCATAGTCGGGAATCCATGCTTGGCCGGCATACAGTTGCAGGTGAAGGAGGGCAGGAGAGGAGATAGAATGCAGCGGGAGAAAGAAAGGAGAGAGGGTAGGACGTAGAGTGTGGGTGGGGGGAGAGAAGGCGCAGGAGGGGGAGATCGGGAGATGGGGTGGGGAAGAGGGGCGCATGCAACGTTGAGATGAGGGTGGTGAGGTCCTAGATCAGGATAAAATTGGTTGGTTGAAAGGGGAAGACAAAGTGGTGATGTGGTAAACGTTGCCATTGGTTCTCTGTTTTTAGCCAGGGTTTCCATCTTAGCTGGTTATGTTGGTCCAATTCGCAGAGCCTCTCTGCATTATCCACCCATACTGTGCGGAAGTTTGCTGTTAGATCATTACGTTTGATCTCTTCTGGTTCTTTTGCCAGCATTTGTTTGAGTTCCTTCCATGCCACGTGTGTGTTTATGGAGATGCCCTCTACTACCGCTGTCCTCGCCTCCATATA